TTGGAGACTGGAACGCCGCATCAAGACCAGCTCCACCCTCCTCATCACCGAGGTCACAGAAATGCTTGGGCATGTGCATGACAGCAATCGCCTCGGTTGAATCAACCGACCGCATCCCGGAGATCCTCTTCATCACAGTGGCGCTGACATACACAACATTGCCACCAGAGAGCTCATGCAGTTCACCCGGGACCTCTGCGCCGTCCAAGAGGAGCAAGCAATCGATGTCGGCGAGCCCAAGCCTGCAGATCTCCCTGCGGCGAGCGAGCAACACGGAGGAGGAGCAGAGTGTAAGAAATGGAAGGGCGCTGGAAAGGATCGGAGCGACGGGGCGGGGGAGAAGGGTACAGGACGGGGGCGAGGCCGACGAGGACGAGGCGGCGGCAGGACCGTCGGTAGGCGGCCGAGTCCCGGAGCTTCACGCAGTGCTTCACCATGGGGTTCGCCACGCTCGCCACCTGCTTGCGCCTTTGCCCGACCCGGAGAGAAGGCGGCTTGGACGCGGCCGTCGCGGCGGCACCGGGAGCGGCGAGGCGGCGACGGCGGAAGGCGCGCGCCGAAAGCGCCGGGGAGTTGAACGCCGACGGCGATGGCGGCGGGGCGCGCGCCAGTAGCATCCCGGCGGCCAACGGTGGCGTGGTATCGCTCGCTCTGCCAACTTCGCTTCGGGGGTTCAAAAGCACGCCTTATCTACTTTGCGCTCAACGTGTCAATTTCTTTTTCCTCTTGCCAAAAATATAGAGATAAATACACCCACGGTCGCTATAATTGCGTTGAAAGCACGATACGGTCACCCAACTTTGAAATACACTCGTTACGGTCACTGAATACGATGGGACGTGAAAATACGGTTACTGTAGCGCGTATGCGGTGCGTACACGCAGTTTGACCATGTGTTGACCGCTCGTTGGGGACAGGTGGCGAACTGTGGAGGCGCGGATGTGGAAATAAGCAAAAAAGTCCTCGGGCGACGCCGCATCCCCCATTCATCCCTCCATCACTCCACCTGCCCGTTCGTCTTCGTCGATAGAGAAAGGGGGAGCTGCATAGGCGACGCCGCCTCGGCGATCATCGGAAGGTTGGGGAGGCGACAACCAGATTTTGTGCATGGTTGAGGAGGTGCCGCCGCCTCGCGCCTTCGCCACCTGTGGGAGGCGGCGTCGATGTCCCATGTTCGTCGTGCAGAAGGGGCGGCGGCCCCCTTGTACAGTAAATCCCCTAATCTGAAGAATCCTTCCCTTTTTTTTGCCGTTTTGATGTTCAAAAATCCTTCTTTTCGGCCGGCATTGCCCTACTAGATGTGTTGTAGTTGGTAGATAGGCCGAATTCTGCTAGGGTTTTCGCATGGGATTTGGGGTACCCGCGTCCTACTACACTAGAGTCGTTTCCAGCGTCACTCATCTCGGCCTACTCTCTGTCGTCCTCCTATTGCACTGATGCTGCAATGGCGCGCACACTGCAGTTCGCCGTGCCGCCGACGGGGTCGATCATCTTGGCCTCCTCTATCTCGCCCTACTACACTGGAGTCGTTTCCAGCGTCGACCATCTCGGCCTCCTCTCTCGTCCACTACACTGACGATACCATGGCGTGAGCACTGCATTCTCCTCCTCTGTCGACTGTCTTTGCACGAGCACCGCAACTAGTTCGCCGACGGGGTCGCTCGCCCACGACTCCATGCCCGTCATGTCGAACACAACGCCGCAACCACTATCTATCGCAGTCGCCATGGTCCGGCGCACACTGCATTTCTTCTCCCCCTTTCTCTGCTAGTTCTTAACCTTATGTGCTAAGTGCAAGTTTTAGCTCTTAATCATATCCCATGCGGGCAACCAAAACAGCGTGTAGTTGTATGCGCCGAGACAATACAAGCAACCAAACAACATGCCAAAGTTGATCCCCTAATGCAAAAAGTCCATATGCAGGCAACCAAACAACTTGCAGATGTTGCATATGAGGCTGTTTTTTCAGAGCCAGATTGGGTTGAGATGTGTATGCAACGCAGCTACTATTCACTACTGCAACCAAACACGCCCATAGAGACCATCTTGTACCCAGATGATGGTGGCACCACACATAATATTATTATTACACAAAGATCATAGCGGTTAAGTTATTATTTCCAGCATTCTTTTCAGAAGAGCAATGCAATGCACAGGCACTGTCTGTTATTTCTAAGCAACGGCCCACAACGTCCGTGTGAAACAACATAATCTACACCCCAAATGTTTGCACAAAAAGAAGTAGCAGCAGCAGCAGCAGCAATGATAATGATGATACCAGAAGCATTGAGCACCAGTACAGCAGATCAATCATCGACAAAGATGAGAACAAAGTCACAGGGCAATGATCACCTCACCATGCTAAGCATAAATTAACCGCTGCTTTCTCCCTCGTTTAGTTTAGTCCTCCCCAAGCGGGAACGCCAAATTAAAGCGCAAAAGCCCACTCCTTTGGAGACTGCACTGCACTGTCTGTCCCCTCCCCGTCTCTTGATTACTCCACCGCCCGATGTCCTTTTTTGCCGTCTGCATATCCATCACTGCTACTGTACCACTACTGCCTGCCCATTCCTTTCAAGCAAATTTGTGACCTCGCATGGTTTCTCAAGAAAAACTTGGGACTGAATTGCATGAGCTAAACCCCCTGACTAATCAGGGGTGACTTATGTAGTATTAATAGAATTTCACGACGACGACAACGACGACGACGACTTCGTAACATCTTACATACAGAATATTCACTCGCTACATATGTTACAAATACAAACTACCTGAGTTCTAACATGACATGACATGACATTCTCTCGCGGTACCTTGAGCCTTGCCGCGGAGTTCATATGCGAGGTACCGTACCATCATCGGACTACAAGTCGTACTCCGGTCGCGGATAATCAATCCGCTGCCCAGCCCGGCTTCTAAGACGGACCTGGTTCCAAGGACAAAGGCACAGATAAGCTTCTGCAACAACTGATATGATATACAAATCAAAAACTCATATCATGTCTGCATAATGAATAAGCCTGACCTAGAGCAAGAGCTGTTGCGCTGTCGGAGCTGCATGTTGCGGACCCGCCGTTCGCGTCTCCGGCCAGTGACGGAAACGAGGGGATGGATTTCAGTATCAGCTTCCGCCCTCCTTTTCGGCTTGGTGAAACGCCGAGCGCATTATGCGGCGGTGACACTCTTTTTCCGTTAGGGGAGCACGTCTTGACGATGCCAGGAGAAGAAGGCTCCCTTAGAATACCAGGCATTTCCTCGATGAACACGCTGTCACCGGCCTTCGAGGTCTTGCGAGACTGAACTGTTTCAGAGGCTTTTGAGGGCCGGGAGGAACTCCCGCTGCGGGCTTTGCATGGTCTAGGTGGCTTTGCATTTGAGAAGTTTGGCTGTTTGAGCAAACAACTGGAAAACATTGTACAGCTATTAATAAAACTTGTTAAATGCAGCTATTTTTGAACTTGTTCGAATAGTCCACATATTAGGCTAAAATGTACCAACAAACCTGGAAACATCCAGAGGTGGTGTTATTGGGACGACAAGCTCAACCAGTTTGTGATTTTCACTGTGTACATTAGCCTTTTGTTGGTCATTTTCCTTCTCTTGTTCACGATTTTCGGTCTGATCGCCTTCTTGCTTCATTTCTTCATTCTCAGTTGATACGGCAACTGACAACAGAATATAAATATCAGACTGAAGTAGAAACGGCAAAAACCAGGGTAGCTGTGTTCACTTGATCATTTCAGACACTAAGTTGGGCACATTAGGCACTCCATAATCTATATCCTAGATACCTCTAAAGTCTGAATGAAAACAGACATGTAGCACTGTCATGCATAAAAAATGTTGATCATTCAGAGTGAAACTGTATTAGAAGACGATGTGTGTCATTAAAAACCTAAAGTAGCATGGCATGGTACCCTGAAATTTCATGACTAAGAGTTAAAACACTGGTTCATGCGAATAAGAATTGGTTACTTATAACCAGGATAATTCGGTACTTTTATGGATCTTCAGTGCAAAGATATGTAAGGTGCTACGACACAAGTTATCAATACATAAAAAAATGCAACATATTGTGCTTGTTTCTAGAAAAATGATTTGCATGTCTGTAAAGTAGCATGGCTGGACAGATTACAATAGCAGAACACTCACCATCTCTAGTGCCAAAAGTGTTTTTGCAGGTTTCGCATCTGCAGTTGTTGGAGCAACCAACACCTCCCTTTTATTAAATCAAACAGTTCAAGCATAAGCAACAAACCAGAAGTATAATTCCAAATGAAGTCACCAGTATCAGTTTCCAAAGCAATTATAATACCTGATAGCATTCACAGTACTTCTTGAGACAGCTTGACTTCTTGCAATTGCATCCTCTCTTATGACGAGCAGAAGCAGGAGTGTTTTTAGGATCTTCCTGCAATTCATTACAGGATTTCAGCATCACATAATAGGGTATAATGACCAACAGAAGTAGATATGAGTTTATTAATAAAATTACCCACCTGAGTCTCCTGACCAGCCTCAGACATGCGGATCACTTTTGGAGCAAATGCCAGCGGATTCCGGAATTCTATCTGCTTTCGGGTGGAGAGAACAATTTCCTCATGTATAGGCTTGTTAAGACATCCTTGACATGAACAAGGTTCAGAACAGTACACGCCAGCAGCAAAGCACTCACAATAACTGCACATGGCAACATTGCACACAGATTATCAAAGGCGTACAACATAGATTCAATTGACTGTACACATACTAAAATGTGCAGTATAACTGTATAAGTAAATAGGGTGGTGGCATAAATTTCCATGGCCAAGAATTTTAAGAAGAGGGTTCCTCTGATTAGGTTGAAAAGATCTCAACTATGGAAAACTGACTCACAGTTTCAAGCACTTTGACTTTTTACAGCTGCAACGCTTGCATGAATCATCGTCGCCATTATCTGATTTACGCCTGCTCTTCAACGTAAAGATGTCAGGTAACTGGATTATAATGAAACACAGAAATCAAAGAGGCTATCACTACCAAAGTAATCAGAACTAGAAACAAACCTCTTCTTTGGGGGGCTGCTGCTTTGACTTGAATTATGATCATTTCCAAGAAAACCTCCAACTGAGCAATCATCATTATCCATCTGAAGGTCTAACGAACCACTGCCTGAATGGACAAAATTTCCTCCAGCAGACAGCAAGTTCCCATGCACGTCCTGTTCAGTTTTCAGTGATGGAACCAAGGCAGTAGCCAAAGGATCCTGACAGGCCATTTTGTCTTTTGATGTTAAGGCAAGAGCATTCAAATGAAGACCAATACCACGGAATACGTGTGGTGATGGAGTTTTTCCTGGATTTCTGTGATTTTGTGCAGAACTTTTGCCTTTGGATGTTGAGAAGGACAAATCCCCAACAGATTCTTTCTGCACAGTCCTATGTGAATACCCAGATGCCTCAAAAACAAGGCAGCGTCTTCGAACTCCTCGTTGTTGGGTCTCAACCTAAACATGCCAGCAGGAAGAAAAAATAATTAGAGAATATTATGATGGAATATTTAGCCATAATACCATATTGAATTCATACTCCAGAGTCCAGACAGTTGCTCTAAAAGTCTGAACTTATGGAGAGAGGCGGGCAATAATGTCAGTACCTTGCAGCCTAATGGAATACATGCATTCTCTTCATTAATATTATCCTGTATTTCTTCACTTAAGATTGTTTTTTTATCTTCCGGAAAGAGCTGGCCATTTTCTGTCTTATCTTCTCCCACTACCATCTCATGATAGTATGCTTGACTGGATGTAGTGGGGTGTGTTCTATCAGGGATGTCAGCACCTCCTGCAAGTTTTGATAGCAAATATCCACAAGATTCTGCATTATTAGCTGCCAGCTGAACTCCTGTGTGATGTTGGTCCATTGATGAGTCAAAGGCCAAAAGTTCGCCCGAAGTGCCAGAAACTAAGTCCTCCCATTCACATCCCATAACTTCATTATTTTCTTTTGCAGGCTGGCAACCATCCTGGGGCTGCATGTCACTGGAAAACAAACATTTCCTTTTCTCCACAGTATTATTAGTGGCTTGGACCGCTTCTAATTTCGGACATTTGTCCTGTTTAAGATCCGATCTAACACTAACACCGTGGCAAGGCGCTGTGTTGTGATCCGGACTGCCAGAATCGAATCGACCAGGTTGAGGCAAATCATTAGGCCCTTTGGGAGGATCAACAATGCCTTCATTTACTGAGCAGGTAATCATCGTGTGGCTCTCTCGAGTTATGGTGCTAGTGCAGGCGAACAATCTAACGGCCGTTGAAGAAGTGGGTGACTTGTTTTTATCAGTGCCGTCCTCCATGCTAATCTCGTTTTCAGTGTAGTCACCAAAAGAGCTCCTGAAAAGAATAGGTGCCAGCATGAGCATCAGGATTAGCTCCAAAAGTAAAAATGTTTTCATTTTCACTCGGTAAGTATCTATCCACAAGTGCGTGAAAGAAGGAAAAGATGGCACGAGCGAGCCTACTTGGAGAGCTTTGATCCCTCCTTGTGCGCGTTGTGATGCGGGGACGTGAAGATTGAGGAAACGGAGGCGGCGTTGAGCGACTGATGGTACGCTTGGAGGCCGTTCCCGGAGTAGGCGGACTTGAGAGGCTCGATCGGAGACAAGCTGTCGATGAAGCCGAAAAGCGGCGAGTCCTGCATTCGGAAAAGCAAGAGGTCAGGGGTTGCAGAGCAGTAGGATCAGGACACAATATATTGGAACAGTGAAAATTAGTAACAACCATTCAACAACAGCAAAACAAGTGCACCCAACTTGTTTGCAATTAGAGTACTTTTTTACCAAACAAAATGATAGGTAGTCCATCTTGCCTATTTGCTACTCCCTCCGTTCCAAAATAGACGACCCAACTTTGTACTCCGTTCGGAATTACTCGTCCAAGAAATGAATGTATCTAGATGTATTTTAGTTGTAGATACATCTATTTTTGTGACAAGTAATTCCGAACGGAGGGAGTATGAATGAAAGTCGTATTTTCTGACAAGAAAGAGGTAAATCCTCCATCCAGCTTGTGGGTGCACGACAACACCATGAGTGCAGACATTAGCACCCAAAAAAAGCCACCCGCAGGAACCACAAGTCGAACCTTGAAGCGAAATGGATCTGACGGAGGGTACACATGCATTTCAGGAGCAGAGACCACACTGCAAGTCAAGCCTAGATGAATGGGTAGATCTGGAGCGAACCGCACGCGCATTCTGACTGCGCAAATGTCACACCATGACATTCTAGATAAAAAGGGCGACACTGTGGCCGTGAGAGGCATGTGCTGCTGTGTAGTGCTAGTACTGAACTCTGAGCCTATCTGAAACTTCTCTGCGGCTCTCCCCCATCTTGTTCCTCTCTCTCTCCAGGCTTCCTGCACGAACCGGATCCCGCGGCTTCCGAGTCCAAGGTTCGTTGGTTAAAGCAGAACCGCGGGGCTCCGAGATAACCGCCGGATGGATTTCCCCAACCCAACCTCCGGGGCGAAGATGGCTCTGACGACCCCCGGCAGCGCCAAGGACACGAAGTGCAAGAAATCAACCGCGGCGACAGACACGAGCCCCGGCGATTTGGCCCGCCGGCGGAACCGGTCGGCCAATTGGGCGGAGGAAAGGGCTTCCCGCGGCCGGCCGGAGGGGAATCCGGCGTCTAAACCGCCGGAGCCGAAGCAGGAGGGGCGAGAAATCAGCCAACCAGCCAACCGTCGACGCGTTCCCCCCGCAAGAAAGAAAGCAACAAATTGAAGAAAAATCCGCCCGGCGACGCCCCTCGCTCGCGGCGGCCGGATCCCGTTCCCCGCCGCGGAGCAGAGGGAACGCGACGGCGCGGCAGAGGCGGCGGCGACTCGTAGAAACAAGACAAAATCCCCCGGAACAGAGTAAACGGAATTGGGGAAGGGAGGGGGCGGCGTCACCTCCGCCCTGGCCGCCGCCGCCGGGGCCGCCGCGCGGTCGGGCGTGTCCATCAGCCTCCGCCCCGAAGAAGCTCCCTCTTCCAGCAGCCTCGCCCGTCGTCGTCGTCGTCGTCGTCGTCGTCGTCTCTGTCTCTTTCTGTCCCTCTCTGTCTGGGGCCCTTGCGTTGGAAGGAGTAGTATACGGGGAGGGGGATCGATGCGATGCGGCGATGAATTTGAGAGGCGCGAGGGCGGGAAGGCCGCCTCTTTTGGGGCTATCCCTCCGCTTTTCTTTTTTCTTTTTTCTTTCTCGGCCGCAGGCCGGCCCGGTGTCCTGTTGCGCCTGATCCGATCCACTAGACCGGGCGCACAGTACTCCGGAGTAAAGGAATTTAAAAGGAAGCGAAGGCCGCGTGACCAGCAGGCGGAGACAGGTGGGGCCCCAGCATCAATATACGTATACTAGTACCTAGTACAATACTTACTACTACGTACTATCTCTGTCCGGAAATACTTGTCATTAAAATAGATGAAAAAAGATGTATCTAGAACTAAAATACGTCTAGATACATCCCCTTTTATCCATTTTGATGACAAGTATTTCCGGACGGAGGGAAGGGAGTACTTACTAATCACCGCAGCTAATTAAATACTGTGTACTACTAGCATGTCCTGATCTATTTGTCGGAGTACGACTTTGCATTTACGACCCAGGCCCTCTATATCCAGATGTGTACACACGTCCAGCAACCGGCTCGTGTTCGGTGCATCGGGGCACCGTGGTTGGCTGGATCCGGTGACGGCGACGACGTTTGAATGTCGTCACTCCTTTCTTGAAGGCGTTGTTGTTGAAAAAATCTGGTCGTTTATGTGGTGTCATGAGATGTTCGGCGCGGATATGGATATTCTGTAGTGGAAATAAATGATCTTAATGAACGGCACATTGATGCATGTGTGGGATCGTCTCCGGCCTCTGTGACATGGAGATTAACTTTGTGTGTATGGAGAGCCAAAGGTAGAAAATAGACATCTCATGTGGGACACACTGAGGCGGTTGAGATCCAAGTCAGATTTGCCATTTACCGTCATGGGATGGCTATTTGAGCACTTTTCCTTCACCACTCGAGCTAGAGGACAAATGGCGGCCTTCCGAGATGCCCTTCATGATTGTGAACTTGTTGATCCGGGCTTTAAAGGAGTTGCCTTCACTTATGATAATAAAAGGGGAGATAGGAAGAATGTCAAGGTGAGGCTCGATCATGTCGTGGCTGATGCATGTTGGCGAGATACTTTCCCTGATGCCTCGGTCAAACACATTATTTCCTCATGCTCTCACCATTGTCGTCTTCAAGCTGAGAAAATTGCCACAGAATACAGAACGATGCCGGCAGTATGAACTCTTTTGGGAAAGGGCGTCTGATTTGCCACAAGTTATCGAGTAGGCTTGTGCTGCAGCTGGTGATAAGAGTGACCTGGGCGCTATCCAGGATTGCCTAGGAAGCGTGATGAAATCGTTGCAAGCTTGGTGCAGTCGCAAGTTTGGTACTCCCTCCGTCCGGGTGTATAAGTCATTCGCGTAGTTCTAGGTCATCGATTTGAGGAATTAAATATGTGTTATATGTCATGAAAAGTATACCACTAGATTTTCACACGGATGTAGTTTCTAAATATATATTTTTTGTCACATATAATACATATTTAGATAGTTAAATTATCGACCTAGAACTACGCGAATGACTTATACACCAGAACGGAGGTAGTAACATACTTCGCGAGCTTTAATCGGTCCGTTCTGAACTGAACAGTTTGCTGCTGTGTGGAGCTGACAGTAAGGAGGTGAGGAAGCCTTCATACAAGCTGAATGAACTCTTATATAAAGAAGAAATGATATGGTTGCAAGTTGCAACGCTCTATAGTTAACTAGCTAAAAGAGGGGACCGTAATACAAATTTTTTTCCATCGGAAAGCAACACTGAATTAAATGCTCATTGAACAAATACAGGATGTTGAATTCTGAAGATGTCCAAATCTTAATCCATAGTATCGATAGTTCTAATGTAAGTGACCGCATATTTACACCATCTTTGGTCAGTATGAACACACCCTATGCTATTTCATCGCCGCGACGACGCACCTCCAACACTGGCTCACCATGCTCATCACCGTCTCCAGGGTGTTCATTCTCACCGGCGTTCTTCGTTAGCGACATAGCTTCCCGCAGCTCCTTCCCTTTCCCCCACAGAAATGCGTATAGCCCCACAATGACCAGCACTGTCCCTATCATGCTGTTGATGATATCATGGGAACTGACATTTGACATACATATATATCTGGACTAACTAAACTGATAAGGTTTATCCTCCTGGTCGAGAAGCTAGCTCACCTGCCTAAGAAGATGCTGGTGCCAAGCAGTGTCGAGTCCATGATCACTGTCGCTACCATCGCGAGGGAATTAAACATGGAGGGGTAGATGGGCCCACGGCGCTTCACCGCCCACGACATGAGGACCAATGCAACACCGGTGTTGAACACCCCCTTGGAAGTGAAACGCAAATTAAGCATCGACATGATTTCATGTTTCGTCGGTGAGACATGACAGACATGAAGCCAATGTCTTACCGAGTAGACAACGGTTAGAAGCTGCAGGTCCCACTTGAGCCTCCATGCGGACATGTGAGGGTCGATCAGGATGCCGATGACGAATGCTTGCAGGTTTCCCGACAGACACGTTAGCGTCGCCACCCAGTACCTAGATGGGAATACCTTGGCAAGCTTAACCTGTAGATGCAATTGCAAAATTGTTGAGGTGAAGCAATTGCAAATGTTGAAGTGAAGCAATTGCCAAAATGTACTATTGCCAGATTATTCCGAGGTCAGTATGGCACCTGTATGATGAACCAGAAGGCGTATCCGAGGCAGCTACCGCAGAGGAACAACGTGCTGACGACCATGTCGTGGTGAGCTGCCGGAGCTGCGGCCGTGTGAGTACGGGGCCTCAGCAGGTGGGTCGGCCAAGGATGGTGCAGCATCTTGCCCTTGTAGAGGCTGACCACCATTGTTCCCCCGACGCAGGCCACGATGCCCAAGAGCTTCATCTTTCCATGCCACTTGCTGAATACCAGCTTCTCTGCCCTGGAGAACCAGAGAGGAGGCCGGGGGAGCTCAGCTCGTCAACGATGCAACCTAGCTAATTAATTGCTGCCACGTTGCGCACGTGAAGATTTGTTGGTGCATGTCAGGACGAGTACCGGAGTAGAATGGCGACCACGGAGGTGACGATGGGGATGAGGTTGAGGAAGACGACGGAGTAGGTGGCGTTGGTGCCGCGCAGTCCATAGTAGTACAGCCCCATCGCCAGGATAACCCTGTGTATGTTAGCAGAAAAATGGTCAAGGTAATAGAGTCCAAGTTTATCTTGGGGGCATGTTTGAGTGTACAACGTCGCCATCAGCATGCCTCGTGTCCTTAACGCGTCTGTACCGTGTTAAAAAAAATTTAGCGTAGTGAGTAAGTTGGCAGATTGTGCTAACCCGGACGTGGCATTCATGGAAATCCAGACCCACTCTATGAGGTTTGGGATTTTGGCCTTTCTCCTGCGAGATAATTAAGGCGATGTCAGTCAGGAAATGACAAATTAGCATTTACCAGCGTGAGATAAGGAAATCAATTCGTCTAGATTTGGAAGGGAAGACATTTTCGTCCGAAGAGTTTGTGTTAGTTTGCCATGCCAATCCAGAGTATTAGTAAATACCTAATTTTTGCATCGCCGCTGCCAACAAGTAATCAATGGCAACGGTGAGTGAAAAAATGGTGTATTGAATGACAAGGCGCCAAGCATTAGTGCAAACTAGACCATCTTAGCTTACCTCATTCGAGTGTGTTTTGTACTCCCTCCGTCCGAAAATATTTGTCGAAGGAATGAATGTATCTAGACATATTTTAGTTCTAAATATATTCATTTTTATCCATTTTCGTGACAAGTAATTCCGGACAGAGAGATTATTTATCTTTGTTTTCAATAAAGGATTGGATTATGCATGCCAGGAACTGACAGATAACCAACGTCATAAGCAATATTGTCTTTTTCAGTTAAGATATGTGGCTCTCTTAAAAAAG